TAAAGTCAGCTATCATGGCGGGACTCATTTATTTTACAGAATAAATAGTAATAGGTTTTCAAACTTTCATTTTTTATTGAAGGATATGAACATTCATATTGTTTAATAACATTGAGAACCACTGTAATTGACCAATATGTGAAATCTGTATAACTATGAATGTCATATAAAGAAATAAATATGTGGTGAAGAACGGGATGTTTCTTTATTTCAATAGTTTGCAGCTCTTTAGATATTACTATACATATACATACACATTACATATCTATAGTAAAAATTTATTAGGCTTTATTCAGGGGCCCCAAAGATCATCTATTGGATGACTACTAGGAAAGTTCTACTTGTTCTACAGGGGATGAAGACAGAAATGGCACAAAAAATGTGTATTTAATTAATTCGGAGATAATTCATCAAGATATTTCATTACTCTGCATGCTTTTATTTTAATCTAATTAAATTGACTTATTCCTTCTAAGAGCACTATTAAGTTCTGCATTAGAAAGCTAATGCGTTTTTAGGTAAGAGTAGCTCAGAATTCTATATAATACTTGAATTTTCACAGTTAGTTTAAAAATATATTTAATAGCCAACGATGACCATAACCGCATCTTGGTCTTGCCAAGATCAAAGCAAAAGACAGCGAATTCGTGTTTGTAATTCGCGGGGAAAACTTAGAGGTTATATAGAATTATTACGCTTAATTTGCTGAATCAACACCTTTTCAAAATGAGGTTTGGGATGACTTCTTATTAGAACAATGACCTCAGTAAGAAAAAGCGAACGAAAATCAGAACCGACTTAGTTTAGACACCGAACAGCTGCGCTTTAAAGAAAATTTATTAATTTTAATTTAATTTATGTGCTTTTGTTCGTTATGCTTAATACTTCCGACATTCAATTTTTATAAAACAAGATCCTCTTGATTAACAATCGATGTTTCTTGGATGCAATAGCCATTTTGACCCACACGAGAACACTCATGGTTATTTCTGATTGCTGAGAATATTATTATTACAAACGAATCACGTTTTCCTATTCATAATTTTAAACCCTCCACATCCAGAGGATTTTAATCATCAAAAAGGTTTTTCAGAAAGAAGTCACATATACTTTCAAAAAAATTGTATGTATCATATTCAGTCATGGTTAAAATCTATAAAAGTTTTGTTTAAGTTTAGTAAATTTAAGAACTTTAGAAGTAGGCGTATATATATAATTTTCCCCTATCCTAATTAATTTAAGGAACTGCGGAAGATTCCGGAATAACCGAAAAACTAGTTATTTAGGATAACTTTTACCCATCTACTAGAATTTTAATTAACTTTCTTATAGAATATCTTTTCTGTTTATTACTCTTTAGCTCTCAAAAATAAATCGATAAATTGTTTGAAAAACAGATGGATGCCATAGAAGTTGAAAATAATTCATGCTGGAGGTTTGCATTAAAATTAATTCCCTCCATTCGTTTTACCCAGAAATTCTCGTCAAGTAGTAACTATATTCCATTTCGACTTCAGAATTTCATAAATTTATAGACATATACTAGAGATATTCTTTAACAGCTTGATTAATTCTTAGGTTAAATATTTGTTTATCAGTACAAAAACTGAAATACAGGGTGTCCGGGCAAAATATATAGAAAAGTAATGGTTTATAATTAGAAAGCCGTGCATGATTAATAATGAAAGTACGGCGCCACCAATAGGACTCTACTTCAAGATTTTTTAAACCCAAAGTTCTCTGTAAAAATCACGCAACCAACAGCTGCTTCGAATCTTTCTTTGCAGCCGTCAAACACTGACTTCCAGTGAGCATGTGTATAAAGTCGTTGGACGTTTTGGCTTGGGCCTTCCTTAAAATGAATAATTATTTAAATAAAATAAAAATTTTAATATACCACGTTTTTAAAACGGACTAAAAAGTAAAAAATAATTTCTTCTAGCCCCATACATATTTATAACCCCATACAGATTTAAAGCGAAAGACGTGGGCGCATGCAATATATAATAGTAAGGAGTGTAGGGAGTAGCTGTCGTTGAGAAAACTCACACAACATTTCATATAATTTCCATTGGAAAAAAATTGTTAGTGACTGAAATAAACTACTTATGCATCAATTATCTATTGCATGCGCCCTACGTTTTTCGTTTTAAATCTGTATGGGGCTAGAAGAAATTATTTTTTACTTTTTAGTCCGTTTTAAAAACGTGGTATATTAAAATTTTTATTTTATTTAAATAAATATTTTCTGCTTTTTAATCTTCTGTGTGTGAAATTTTGAAATCGATTTTAACTATCTTGATGAGATTATGATGGAGACATGTGGCAAATTTCAGGTTTATTTCAGTTTCTCTTCACCTGATCATAAATAGAAAATTGTTATCTTCCTGAAAAAGTAAGTTACTTGACGCAGAAACCTTCGTGAAAACAACTAGGACCCGAACAGCATTTTACTTCCCCCCTCCTCTGGAATTTCACGGCAAACAAATTATTGTCACTCTAGCATAGCAAACCCTCCCCTCCGAACTTCAATCTACTCTTCGATGGCCCCCCCCCCCTGTTCGCGAAGGAATTTCTTGGAATCCTACAAACTCGAGATTCCCCTTCCTCGCTATTCACGAGTGACGCCTGGACAGCGCCATCTATCGAAGCTCTGGGTCGGTAAAACACAAAATATGAAATAAAAAATTAACAGACAATTAATATTGCATTGTCATCTAGTTCTGAGCTATGTCTAAAGTTTCAAGTCTCCAGCTCATCGGGAAGTTAGTTTAAATTGTAAAATGCAACAACCAGAAGGTTCATAACATAGGAGAAAAAAGCTTATTTCTGTAACAGGTTTAATAACGCCACAAATGTTGCCAAACATTTGACACGAGATCGATTACCGTTTGGACATTCGTTTACGTGGAATCCTCATTTACATGTGAAGAAATATGAGGCGTTGTCCTCTTTTAGGTAAGCCCGGTCACTCTGTACATTTACATAACAATAAAATAGCTAATAGTTTAACAGTCAAATCATTTTTTGTTCTTGATTTTGGAAATTGCATACATTAAAAAATACTTTCTGAAAGTAGTCGAATTTTACTGGGAAAAAATGATGTAAATGATATGACAAACATCTTTTTTTCTATAATCTAAATTTGCTTTGCGGAAACATCAATGTGTCACATTATTCAGAATTTGTTTCAAATCATCTTTAAATGAATCATTATTGCTAAAATCCATGGTAAATGTATTATATTGTAAAGTCAAGTGTTGTCTTTTAACTCAAACATAAAAAAATGGAATGAATAGTAATCGATAGTCATCCTTTCTATTTAGAAACGCACTATCTCTGACACATTGACCGCTGAGCCGTAAAGCATAACCGACAATTGTCAGTTTATGTCGTCCCATGACTAGCACCATCCAGACGGCTATAAAAGAAAAACAAATTTCGCTCTGTTCAAAAGAAAGAAATCGTCTGTCAATAAAATTATGACCTACTAAGGTTTAAAATTATTTACAAATTAAGCAATGCTGTTAAAAAACATTCGATGTTAATCGCGCTCTCATGGGTTTTCTTTTAACAACAAAAAAATCTAAGGACAATGGTTTTCCATCATCATTTTCTATTTGGGAAAATTACATTCTTGTCACGCTGACTAGCTTCAATATCCTTTTCAGAGAATCAAAATATATTAAGCACGACGTTCTTTAGAAACCCGGCAATTGTTACCGAGATGAATCGGATCAAGAGAATGATTATATAACACACAATGACAGTCAGGTTTCCTTAACCCCGCGTTATGTTTCCTCTTACTCTAAAAGGACCTAATTCAACAATAGAATATACCATCTAAATAAGGACTGCAAAAACACAACAATTACCAACGCCATCAATGTATCTACTGAATTTTATTATATAAAAAAAAGCTTAAATAGTATGGAATTACAACATGTTGCCACAAAAACCATTTACAAATAATAGGTTCAAATTCATAGACGCCTCGGTGGCACAATGGTAAGTGATTCGAATCCTTACAATGACAGACTCGCATTCTAATCCCAAGACAAATTTTTTACTCTCATATTTCCTTGATAAAAGAATTTCTGTTTACTTTTTCAATAACACAATTGACATCTGTCAATTCACATTAAATCCATGACAATCTCGTTGACGTTCGATTCATTAGATACTTCCTTGTGTCGGTCATGTGCACTGACAGCTCTGAGATGCCTCGTTGGATATTAAAACATTTGATTCAATTTCAATTTTCTCCTTATAAATGAAAGGTTTTGTTTGTTGAACAGACAGTTTTCTTTGACTCTGATGAAAGCAAATGATTGGATTTTGATTCTTTTATTATTGTAAGAAACTCATACATGATTTAAGCTACATTTGTTCTTTTTGACATGTTTTCTTCCGTAACTAGGTTCATAAAAATTTATTTACTAACTAACGTATTCTTCATTTCTTCTTAGATGCTATCAAATAAATATGATATCTCAATCACGAAACTAATAATATAAATATAGGTGCTCATAAACTATTGTTAGAAAGATAAACTTTGATTTATCACATTTTACTATTAGCAACTTAATTGTCGAATCACTAGCGTATTCGTAAATAATTTACTTAGTGTAGTTGTTTTAGGAACAGAAGAAGAAAACTGAAGACTTCAGAAAACTAATAACTGAAAAGTAGAAGAGCAGTTTTCATGGAAGAGGATAAAAATCAAAAAATTCTCATGTAACTACAAAAGAAAAATTAAAACTAATTGTGTTCATATTTAAGATATACAGAGCAAGAATAATTTAGTTACATTAACGTCTCGTTTTGAAGTAACACGGGTTATTTTGGGTCGGACCTCGTAATTTTGTACCGAGGTCAGATGACGAGGGCGACACCTGAGCTGCGCCCCCTCTCCAAACTCCCTCACCACCTAGCGGGAGGCCGTTTGGCCCCCTACGTATGATTTAGCAGGCAACAGGCCCACATATACGGCGGATCTTCAATGGAATCAGGTTTCGAACCTGGGACCCTCCGCCCTCAAAGCCGAGACCTTACCACTAGGCCAATTCCCACTTAAGGGATACCTCATATATGGGGATGAGAATCTGCCATATAAGTAAGCAGAGTGTCGCTTCTCTGTGGGATATAGTAATGGTGTGGGTCGAGTTACCCCTACCTCTGTCTGAGGGGTCATCGCATGAGCTGCTCGTAATGGGGCTATAATGCGGGGGCCACAGTGCCCGATTAATTGTCGCGGCGGCCGGATCATTCATGTTTTACCGCGCGCTACGGCTAGACAGAAGTAACTCATTTGTGGTTATGGTTACCACTAGGCCACCACAGTCTCATATAGAGCAAGAATGACACTGAATGAGAGCGTGAGACTGAATGATAGCCAGGAATGAGTGTATATCGAATGATTCTGCAGCAGTATTATAATGCTTCAATGATGTATTTATAATATACTTTTATTAAATGAAGATTAAAGTGAACAAAATAAATACAAAAGTACTACTTCGAAAAAAATAAATATAAGAAAATAAGAACTTAGTAATATTAAATACTACGTGTACCTATCAACCATCACGATTCTTAACATTAAATATCGCGTACCATTCTACAATATGGCATCCTGGAGTTTCATTTTAGGATTACATTTGCCTATCATTGCCCTTGATAATTGTATATATTCTTTAAACAACAGCTTTCAGGTCTGCCCGATAACTGTTAATTAAAATGGACACGGAAAATTCAAGTTTCATTTAGCCCATATGTTAGTTGTTAATCGTTCTTAGTTACTGAATTTCCTGTGTACTGGTTTTCTTACACGTGAAACATAGAAAATATCCTTAAAAAGTTGTTCCGGGAATGACGTCTCCCCACACAGTAGGATAGTTCTGATTCAAGGACAAGTCTGCTTTGTTAAAGCAATAATTCAATTTCTAACATGTTACTGAAGATATATATTTTTAATCATTGAAAGAAATTAACCAGCTGCTTCATCGAAATCTTAACATCCTAGTGTCGTATCCACGGAGCTTTTTTGTACTAATTCAGGTGTTATGTATTTGTACAGGCTATATATATATTAGGGTAGGCGAAAAAAAACGTTTTTTTAGAAATCGATTTTGGCATAGTGCGGAAAAGTTGTGCAATAGATCTGTTAAAACCCTCCAAAAATTTCATCAATTTCGTTTAATATTTAGCCGCGCCCCTTTGACATTGAAAAACAGAAAAAAGAGAAAATCGTTTTTTGTGAAACATTAGAGGAACCGGTGTAAAAATGGGCACTGGTGTAAATATGGGCACCCTTCCCCAAGTGGCCATGGGAGGTGCTGAAGACTGGCCTCCCAGGACTGTAGATGGTGCTACTTGTTGATATAAGATAGCAGAGAACAGTTCGAACTATTCTTTCAAGTAGTGTGGATGCAGCGTGAGTTCTTAAGCGAATTGGTGTTTGTTCTAGACTGCAAACTTTTGACTGGTATGTGAAATCGTTTTCTTTTCATATTCTTATGGTTAGTTTAAAATAATTTTACAGTGATATCCGGAAAGCGGAGATCCTAAGCTACTTTTAGAAGCACGCCTTTAGTCACACACGCTTTCTGGTTACATGTGATAGTGGCCATCTTTCTTAGGTTTGGTTGGTGTATATATGGACACCCTTTCAATGCCAATTGATGAGGCTGCTGAAACACCTTGTCCAACCAATGACGCTGCAAAAATGTTCCCCGGGAACTTCAAATACAGTTTCTCCGTTCGACATATCTCCTGTCCCCAACATTAAGAAGAGAACCACTACTCGTGGACGCAAAGCAACAAGGTCCAGCCTCATCACTGAATCACCATACCGGTCTCTTGAGAAAAGTGCTCCCAAGAAGACGTCCTTGAGTGTTTCCGGGGTAAGAGACCGGCCAGGGGGCAGGAGTGGGAAGACCAAGGGCCTTCAAAAAAAGGAAATTCGACCCACGAAACGATACGATTCATCATCGTACTCATCAGACTACTATGATCCTCCCCTTGTGGACAGCGATGATGATATCAACCTGGATATCAACGATGGGGATAAACCAGACTCGAGGAAGGCAACTTGCATCTTTTGTGATGGAAAGTTCTCTGAAGACACTCACGGGGAAGTGCGGGTTAAATGTGTTATGTGCCAAATGTGGGCACACTTAGATTCTGCCGGGGCTGAAACAGCCACTTATGTTTGCGATTTCTGGAAATAATTTTTTTTCTGTAATAAATAAATTCTCTACTATTTTGTATTGTTTTATCCTGTTTTAAAACATTTTAAACAATTTTTTGTGACTCTTTTGGAGAGGGCCCATATTTGCACCCCATTTTTTTTATGTTTTTAAAAGCTTTTTGTAAATCTTCGTTTTAGAATTGAAATAATTGGTATTAATCATTGTTTTGCCTCCTCTCATTTAGTAAACTTATAATAGTTGTTAATGAAGGTCAAAAATCCAGAATTTTTCAAAATGAAAGTAACTTTAAGTCAGAAACAAAAGAGGGTGCCCATATTTACACCTTTTCCTCTATATTTTGAAAAAAATTTCAAAATTTTTACTGGCATACAATGAAAATGTTACAAAATGCGTCAGTTTGAACCCACAAAAAATTTTATCAATTTCTCTCAATATTTAACCGCGCCCCTCTGACATGAAAAATTGGAGAAAAATGAAAAAAAAAAATATCGGATTTTCTAAAAAACTGTACTATGAAAATTATTTTTCGAAATTAGTATTGACATTAAATGATTAATTAAATAGTACTATAAATAATAATAATTCCATAATTATTACGTAATTTAACTTTTTATTCAATTTTTTTTACGAAATTAATACGTACTAGCATATTTTTTCTTGAATTACACGCAGATAGAATACAGATTAGAACAAAAATCTACAAATTTGAAATGTATATAATAATACCTCATGCATATTGAATATTAGGTGTTAGAATAATATTGTCCTTTGTTGTCGAACGTTAGAAGCTCTTTCCTTGCTTGAAGTTTGCCACGAATATATCCATCTCTTGCAGTCTCACCACAAACTTTCATTGCAGCTTCAGATATTAGTTTAACACATCGTTCAATAGATTGCGTGTGGCATAGAAATTCCTCGAAAGTTAGTACTGGAAACTGTTCTTCTGGGCACATTTCTTTCAGGTCTTTGTCCTTTATATGCATTGTAAGAGGCTGCTCTGTTACAACACAGTTTGGCCAATAAATTAAATCAATATAATCGGCTGCTTCGAAATTGCGTTTAGGAAGCTTGAGCAAACGCAAATCACCCGAGTTCTTCGTCTTCTTTTCTCTGGCGCCGAGAATACGCCTAACTGCTAATTCCCGGATGTGCTTCCTAGAATCATGTAGCATTGTTAATAATAGGTGTTCGGGATGCGCAAAATATGCATTATTTGAGAATACTTTGTAAATACAGTGCACTCCCGATTATCCGGGTTAATCACCGGGAGCGATCGCATTAACAATAGAAAAACACGGATAATCCGAAAACCCCTTTTTATTAAAGAAAAAATCAACATCAGTACAAAAATATAAGTATTACTTACTTACGTTTGCAAATGCTGTATAACATCAAACTAGGAATTTTCCTTTTAACATTTCCTGCTTTAAAAAATCTGTAATGCGTTTTTGTTTCTACTGTTTGTTCATCACTTGTCGTATATCGACACATATTTTACGAACCGCAGTAATGTCACCGTAATCAAATCCTCTTTGCCCCATATAATCTAACAAAGTTTCCACAGATTGTAGAGCAGCAGAATAAGAAATTATATTTCCCTCATTTAGTATATCTTCTGCATCAGTACTAGCTGATTCTCCATTATCAAGTTTTTGAAGGATTTCTAATTTTTGTTTAACATTTAAAACGTTTCGTTTTCGTTTCACTCCACTCATTTTTACCAGTAAAAAACTTCATGCTACTAACTGACGATAAACAAGACGCAAAAACTAAAGGAACACGTGCAAAAGTGAAAGAAGACGAAGAAGTTAAAGAATGACATGTCAGGGAGAAGCGTGTTCGTGCGAGAATGAGCTAGCTGGAAGTGGATGATTCCTTTCTCGGAAAATTAGGGGTTGAACCGGTAGAGATTGCACGTGGAGGAAAAAAAACATATATTCTTTAGCCTGCGCCGTCACGGCTCACTAGTTTCTCGGAATGGATCTCTCGATCGAACTTCAACATCGATTTTACATGCATGATAAGCGTGAAAATGTTTCTCTTTAAATTTTTTTGTGAGTCCGGAATGAGCACGGATAATCCGCAAACCGGATAATGGAGAGTATACTGTAATTTGCTTAACATTGTCTGGAAGCTGCCCTGCAAGGGAAATCATTTTCCAGAAATGTTGGGCACCTTACTGGCAATTCGATTTCATTTTTTATCTCAAACCACATTGGAGCATAAACCAGCATTACATACTTCACGAGTATTATGAGATTCTGTGATGGACATGGAGTGCCAATGTATAACCGTAACAAACAGTTTGCGGGGGTCAGCCATCGTGCATGACTGAGTTTGCCTGAGCTATTGTTAGTCAGGCTAGAAGAGCAACTACCATCTTTTATGGCAAGACAGATGCGATACAAATATTGTTGGTCAGTACTTAGTTTTTTGGTATCTTTCAGATCCAAAGGCTGAAGAGTACAGTCAATTTGATCAAATTTGACAATTGGATTTTTTCACATTCTTTTAGAAACAATCTAACGTCCAGAATATGAATATGGTCCCTTTGTGCAGCTGTCCATTTCCACAATGATGTGCCTTAGTGGCAACTCATTAGTATGTAGCATATATATATACCATTGTAATGGTCTTCCAATGTATGTCTCAAGCAAGCGTATTACTTTTCCTTTCCATCCCGTATTCACATTTGCTCAGTCACATCCGATAACCGATAGGTTCTGCAAACTCATATTATACGTTTTTGTAGCTTTGATAATACCTTGGGCTATTTCTTTTGCACTTCCACCAGCAGTTAATGATATATGACATGTATACTTGCAACCTGCTTCCTCTATTAATGCTACATGCGCTTCTGATG